ATTATCCAAACACGTACCGATATTCGAAGAAGGGTATGCATGCAACCAAAAACCTGATTCCTTCTCAGACACAGCCAAAAGTCGAGCGCGGTCCACTGTGTTGTCACAGGTATCCATAATTGTTTCAAGTTTTCGTTTACAAATAGGTTCATCCCAATTCCTCTGCGAGTGGAAAACGGTAGGACTCTCACCAGAACACAGCGCCAGCCACTTACTTTTTGCCTCCGAAAGTCCCGAAATCTCAACGGAACCCAGAGATGGGCCTAGAATACTACCGCAAAGAGATTCCGATGCATGAACCGAAGACAAAAAAGCCGGCAGAGCTACATCCGTTGCTGTCCTTACACCAATCCCCCCAAAGCGCACAGGTAGTGCCGCCTGTTGCCAAGCCGGGCCCTCTAAGGAGCAATTCAAAATTCTAGTTAGGGTAATTTTAATAAGATCGTCCAAATTATGCGTAAGGTTTGGGTATTTCCAAAATTGAGAAACACGTAGATTATATGTGAACTTGGGCACAAACAAGCAACATTTCATAATAAAAAGAGCCATGTGAGACTTTATTTCGAGAAGGCGAGACGATTTTTCATGAAATTTTGTTACTTGTTCTTCCACAAACAGAGATATGGATTCGTCAAGTACAGGAGCTCCCAACAAATGAAAAGACTCCTTATCAAGAATCCTAAAACCCGGAACCAGTTGAGTAAATTTTCCTAAAATATCCTTTCTATCATTTGTCCCTACAGTATCATGTATGTACAACTCACACTTCCCAAAGTTCAATTGTAGGCCAATAGACGAAAAAGAATCAATCAAAGATTTTAGGTCGCCTAATACTGTTTCAGCGTCACCACCTAGAGTGCCATCGTCCAAGTACCAAACATTAAATTTGGACTTCAATTTCTGAATGATGCCATGTATTGCCAGACTAAAGATTGCAGGACCTATTGGATCTCCCTGCTGACAACCCACAGAGGACATAATCAATCTTTCGCGGTAAACTAAATTTGATGGCGATCCGTAACATTGCCAAATAAAGGGATACAAAGAAGGCACATGTTTTTGTACTTCACTCAGCAGTATTCCTCTATCGACTGAGTTAAAAGCGTTCTGAACATCTACCTTCAGCAGAACCCTACCAGCATCGGCGGACAAAAAAGTGCGAGCAGCATGCACTGCCACTTCACATCCACTTTTAGTGCCGAAGCCCAGTTGTACAGGCTGAAATAAGGTTCTCAAATTTGGTAACGCCTTTTTGCAACATACCTTGGACGCCAAACGTCTCAAAGTGCTTCCAATAGCTATTGGTCTCACGCCTCCGTCTTTCTTGGTCAATGCACAAATGCTAGCTCCATATAAAATGCATGTGACCTCTGGAGTTACTTTTCCGGACAACATCAGATTTATTAAAGACACTAAACTTGCAAGTAGCGCCCTGCCGGCATCACCCGTAGCACCACTCACAAGATCTTTTATGTGTTGAGGCGTAAGACCATCCAGACCTCCAGTCGAACCATTCCTGAAAGAATTTATAGCTGCCAGCACGTCCTCCGGCGACGCTTCTATAACGCTCTCCGAGCCACTAGGTGGCCCCGGCAGAACAAGATCTGTGGCCGGTGCCGGATGTTTAGACAACAATGACTGATATGTGTTGAAGTTATCCGGAGCAACGGTATCTGAAGAAAAGCATAAGCGTGCAGCTCCTCTTAAGTCCCCATCATTAACTTTGGTCTCGATCATTCTATTAATATTATAAGTCCCGGCCCGAACAGGAAATGTAAGGGTACAGTTTTCATTTAGACAATTATCTCTGATCTTTTTAGTCAATGAGGTACCACTGTCTTTTGATACATGCAGGGTCCTATAAGCAAAGGAAAGGAGTTGCACCCAACTCGTTTTATCATTGCTGTCCAAGACATTGTCCACAACCTTTCTTAGACTTTCTGCGACCGCTATTCTGGCACCCCGAGGGATTCTTTTAACCAAAGGTAAGGCGTGCCTATATCTGCCCAATAATTTCCAAAGTGGCTCAAATTCTGCGAATAAATTAGCTCTATTCGGAGCAAAGTCCGAAGCGGAAGAGGTACTAGCAGATATTTTATGTACTTTTCCTACATGAATTCTTAAACCCCTTGTACTCTTGAAATATTTAGGCTTGCGACATTGATCACATTTTACTAAACTATTCAAAGAAAGAGTGCCTGATACAGACTGTGAAGCATGCAAAGAAGAAAGTGGCTGAGACATACCTTTCAAAATGTTAAATATTTCTAAGTTTTCAATAACATGCATAAAAATATTGATACTTAACAAACTAATGTGGAGTTTCTTTTCTATCAAAGTGGTAACACTTAGTTATTCGAAAAATAAATATTATTACATATTCTTTTTCTTCTTTTTTAAAGAAGCTGAGCATTTTACAACATGAATTATTGAAGATCTGAAAACTTTTATTACATTTTATTCACATAAGATAAATATATATATATATATACATTATTACTCTCTTATTTTTATACCAGATAAGCACTTTTGCAACTTAAAATAATAATATTGAGACAAGACAATATCAATTTCACTTGAATTTATAACATTTAAGCACATCTAACAAAAATAAAAATACATTAAGATAACAATTATTTGGATACATTCAGAATAGCAATAACACCTGATTATTACAATTTCAATTCCGATTAATAAAGACTATGATAGAATCTATGTATTATTCAATATTTTATTATCAATTATTAAATTATTATACCTATACATATCATATATTTCACCGACTTATATGTATGTATTAACTGTACATTCAAATATTCTGATTATTTTGGCTATAGAAAATTATAGACATACACACATTATCAACAGAATAACATAATTTATATTTATTAAAAGGAGGATCTTCGTTGTGATACTGGACGCGTGCGTAGGTAAGGTCGAGCTCCACGTTCCACAAGGATATAAACAGTGGGTCCCAGCTAATTTCCTCCCAAAATCCTTGCTATTATTTATTTCCCTTTATTCAGCGATTGCAGAGCTTTTAGCTTTTTCTTCAGTAAAATAATAGTAGCCTCCCACGGCTCTGTTCTATATTATTACCCTTCAATTGCCTTGGTTTCAACAAAAAGGAGAAAAACATATATATATATATATACAATCTGCTTCTCATGTTCCATACTCGCCAACAGTCTGTCCATTGCTTCGTACATTTGGTAGTTCCATATTTTTAATAAATAAATCTTAAAAACATAAATATTATTTGTTACTCTCGGTGATTTGAACTGACGACCTGTTGTGTTATCAATGCGGAGACTACACCACTGCACCAATGTTTCTATCGAACGGAGAAGCCAAATTAGCGGCAGTATCCACAGCTTGCTTGATGCTTTTCGTCCCTTGGGAGTTGAGGTCAGTTTGAGAAAAGAAAAACTAACCGACCAAATACTTTTTCACATTAAATTATCCAAACGGGCCACTTTAAAGTTTACCTTTTTTTTCATTTGCTTCATTTTTCACAGTTCTGTTTATTATTTTTTGATGAAAATTGCGTTTTAACACGGTTTTGTTTTCTTTCTTTTTTGAAACCACTGTTCACTATTTTATTTGCAGATATATCACTCAGTACTTTTTATATAACTCAGATAACACTTGCACTTCGGAAATAGCATGGAAATAACATGTTTCACGTATCTAAAAGTTAATTGAAGAACAATATCTATTTTTAAGTTAAAATACATACGGAGCTTATTATTATCGTGGCAACAGCGCCATCTTCTCCGAAATCAATCAAATTACAAAATTAAGTCATCTTTAAATAGCCTCTTGGAACATTTAGAACAGTTAAACCCAAGCACTTTTGTTTGAAATATAATCCGACACCACGCTTGTTACCAAATCAGATTTTTTTAATAACAATTAAAAATTTAAAGCGACATACTAAAGATTGAACAAAAAAAGTAGCGATGCAATTGAAGTTTACCTTAAAAAATATTCCATGTGTCAAACAAATTTTAACCTTTTAACCCCCCTTTATAATACTATAAAATTTTGAAACAGCTCCAATTCAATTCGCGCTTCCAATTAATGTAACGGTAGCGGTTCAGCTTTGGTTTTGACCGTTGCAATCACCTCAATAGGCGCCCTGACCTTAGTAAGTACACGTTCGTGAAAATTTAAACGGATTACCGGAATACGTAAAGAGGCTAAAACGTCGAGCGTTACGGTATACGCTTCTCGAGTTTCGGCACTATCATTAGCACTCGATTAACCTTTCCGTGGTCTGGGGTTGAACCCCCAAATGCCACTCGTTTGACGCCACGCAGGCCGGGGGTGAAATGCAAACTTTGTCATTTTAATACAGTAATAAGCTGTGACGATAAAAGACACACTATTATAATAAAAAGGGAAGCTCGCTGGCACCGCTATCGATAGCGTGACGGATAATTTGGAAATAATAGAACAGAATATGCGATTGAGTGATCTTGTTTTACTGTTAAATGTGACCCGAAACTTTTAGAACAAAATTACATCCAAAGTAGATATAAGAATTTGTAGAAGGCAAACGATTCTTTGTGAATAATATGCCCAATTCGTAACTTTAGGAATAACAAGTAGGCTGAAGGATTTTTTTTCTGTAATATCTCACTGCTGCCTCTATTTTTCATATTAGATGTAATGACTTCGGCTTTGCTCTAAATATGGCTTGTGCCATAAAGTACATGGCCATGTGTTGTAAATATAAATACATCACGCGAGCTTAGCGCATATTGGAGGTTGCTAACAACTGCAGATGAACTGCTTTTGGTTTTTGAGAAAATCATAGATATCTAACCCTTTTCCGTAATAAAATATAAACTATGTCTAAATTTCAATATAACAAACCTTCACGTTTATAATATTACTAACACGGTGAAAGTTGCTTAGCTTCCGAATGCGCTAACCACTTACCATCGTGCTCCTCAATAATTACTTCGAAGATTGTGTGGTGATAACACGAGTAGTCTGTCCGTGTACCGCAGGCAGGCGCTGCTGACGGCGCGGACGGACGCGCGAGACGAGGATGACGAGCGACCCCTGGACGTGGGCGGACCTAGCAGCCCCCCGCCACCACCGCCTACTACGCAGCACTCCACCAGCTGTAAGTCTAAATATCTATACAGTGTTTCTGCTGTAACAAGGATTACCAAAACTCCGATTTGCAGGAGGCAAACAACAGCCTTCCGCCGCCGCTGCCTACTACGCAGCACTCCACCAGCTGTAAGTCTAAAACTCTATAAGTACAGTGTTCCTGCTGTAACAAGCATTACTAAAACTCCGATTTGTAGGAGGCAAACAACAGCCTCCCGCCACCACCGCCTACTACGCAGCACTCCACCAGCTGTAAGTCTAAATATCTATACAGTGTTCCTGCTGTAACAAGCATTACCAAAGCTCCGATTTGTAGGAGGCAACCAACAGCCTCCCGCCGCCGCTGTCTACTACGCAGCATTCCACCAGCTGTAGGTCTAAATATCTATACAGTGTTCCAGCTGTAACAAGGATTACCAAAACTCCGATTTGTAGGAGGAAAACAACAGCCTCCCGCCGCCGCTGCCTACTACGCAGCACTCCACCAGCTGTAAGTATCACAACAACTCCACTGCACATCAGTAGTTTGATTCTGCGGTGCGATTCAGACGACGCGGATGGACGCGTGACACGAGGATGACGAGCGACCCCTGGACGTGGTCGGGCCCCACCGCCACTGCCAAAACTCCGAATGGTAGTAGAAAACCAGCAGTCATATAGGTGTGAGTAACAACACCTGCACTAGTTGTATAGTGTGTCCTGCCTGTGAGTAACTCACCATCTGAGCTGGATTTCTGTAGTGTGTTCCTGCGATCATCACGCAGCACTCCACCAGCTATGAGTAACACAACAACTAGTGCGTTCCAGCGGTAACTAGAATTTCCCGATCTCTAAATGCCACCAGCAAACCAAGACTTGGTCATTGCATTGAACTTCAGTAATAAAAAAATGGATGCGTGTAACTTATGTACGCGCGTGAGAAGTTATACTTCTTTAGCATCATTAAAAATATTTTTTAATTGCATGCAAATAATTAATAATTACAATAAAATAATAAAAGGACTGGAAAAGGATAGTTAACACAGTCAATTAAGTTCAGTTTTAATTTGAAAAATTAAATAAATATTCAAAATATTCAATTAAAATCACTACTGAATTTAAGTTATTAGTCCATATGTAATTAGCACTTGTAAGTAACTAAAACACGTTGTGTCTATATAGAAACTAGAAACATGTGGATAAATATTATAAATATGAAAACAGTGATCAGAGGCGACGAGCGTGCCAACATTGTTGTTGTTCCGCACTTGTAAGTAACTAAAACACGTTGTGTCTATATAGAAACTAGAAACATGTGGATAAATATTATAAATATGAAAACAGTGATCAGAGGCGACGAGCGTGCCAACATTGTTGTTGTTCCGCACTTGTAAGTAACTAAAACACGTTGTGTCTATATAGAAACTAGAAACATGTGGATAAATATTATAAATATGAAAACAGTGATCAGAGGCGACGAGCGTGCCAACATTGTTTTTGACAACGCGATCATCTTATGGAGCTCCGTGGATCGTTCAAAGTACCTTTCGAACAGATGTCTAATAATGGTGGATTATTAACCACTTAGTGGTAAATTAACATTCATAACGCGCCCGCGGCCAACTTCATGGTGTTACTATTGTGTTACAGTGATGCGCGCGCATCTCGAAATTTCACTCACATGATTTTTTCATAACGCGCCCGCGGCCAACTTCATGCTGTTACTTTTGGGTTACAGTGATGCGCGCGCATCTAAAAATTTCACTCTCATCATTTTTTCATAACGCGCCTAAAGAAGTATAACTTCAAAAAGCCAAACAATCATCCCCTCGAGCAGGAGGGTTTTACAAACATTATAAGAACAAATAATTAGAATACTAGAAACATAAGAGTTCGAAAAAAAAATGTTTTTCTCTGAATTTTGAGAACACATTACACTCCTTTATTATAATATGTAAATCTCAAAGCTGAAGAAACTAATTAGAACTTTCCTTACAGCATGGTTCAGTTCGAGTGGAGGTGGCGGCGGTGCAGACTCAGGCCCCGAAGAAGCCATCGAGGCCGGCTCCGACTCCTCGTGTTCGGGTGGAGCGCGCGCCTCCTCCCCGCCCGCGGGTCCTTCCCGCCCCTCCCCCGCGCCCGACGTCTCCCTAGGCCCGCCGGTACAACCTCCTCTACTCCCGTACCTCTATCCGCCTTCCTTGTACCCTCCTCCATTCTTCCCTCCGCACCAAATGCCGCCTGGTCTTTTATTCAACCTCCATCCGCTGCTGCAGCAGTATTCCCTACCACCGCCGCCCGCGCTTCCGGCGCCTGCTGTAGCCCCGTCGCTGAGTAAAGCGCACAGGTTCGCCCCGTACGCGCTGCCAGGACTTGGATCGGCGTTTGAACAAGTAGCGCCGCGTGCGAGGAGTTTAAGTTCATCACCAGCGAGACCTCGACCGGGATCTCCTCCAGCGCGGGCCGCGTCCGCTGACCCCCCTCCCGACGCCCCGACAAGTACAACCTCCAGCACCCCGCCAGCGTCCGACCTCAAGAGCATCGAGCGCATGGTCAACGGCCTGGACGTCGAAACTCAGGACTGACTCGGGACGCAGCCTTGTAAATAGCGTGTATTTATATCAGCCCGTCGCTTCGTTGTTCGCGAGATGAGAGGACTAAGCGACGGGCGCCGTTTTGTATCGTTCCTATTTTGTTTTCCTTTCGAGTTCCATTCGGGTCGATTATCATATACTGTTTGTAAATAGTTACGCTTGCAGTAGGTGGCCGTTGACGCGTGTCCGACGGCCGCACCTCGAAGTAGTCGCTCACTGCACTCCTGGTGTGTGGATTGTCCGAACGTAGTGCTGACTCGATGACCTGGAGGTAATAAACTTTTCTACATTTAGTAACATAGTTCTTTAAGAACTGTTGTTTCCAGATTTTGAATCTCATGAGAATGACAAACTTGTCATGACAAGTTTGTCTTGGCAGCACTACGTGTCTTAGACCTTTTTTGTAGTAGCGAGACCATAAAACTCACCTATTCGAGTTCCAGTTGGCCGTACATCAAACGCTGGCAATAGCAATGTTAATTTTTAATTAATTCATGGCACTTATTAGTGTTTTTATTCAAGCTCGGTCGTTCGTTCATTCGTTCGTTCGATCATGTGAGTCTTGCTACTACGAAAGTCTAACTCAAGGAAACCACGATTCAATCCGTTAACTTCACGTAGAACACAATAGCTATCTCTCATAGATAACACAGCAATAGCAGTACCTACCTTTATGATAATTATAACACAATTTATTCGACAAAGTAACAAATGACGTCATTGTTCATAAATAAACTCATATCAGTCATACTTGCTCCACACAGATTGTTGACATAAAAAAAATGATATTTAAAGTACATATTATGTAAAGTTCGTTAAATATTTTCTTGTAATCGTTATTTTGTTTTCTGTTATTTTAGAATCTATTACAGAGCTATGTTATGTACTTTAAATTATATAATGTATATTGTAATAAAAAAATAATGTTTTATTGATATATTTTCATATTGTAATAATTATAAAAAATATTAGATTAGATTTTTTTTCAGTCGGTGACGTCATATTTGACAAATTGTCGAATAAAGCAAACATGTTTTCCCCATTTTTATTAATAATTAAATTACATGGATAGTATCGCTTAATTTTGTAAATACAAATATAAGGTATATTTACGTGTTTACTAATAGACATATTTTGAAAATATGTTTTGTCAATTGTGCTGTGACATTTGTGTGCGAACAATTGTTGCTATATACAATCAAAAACAACATATAAACAAAAAAAAACATTATAAAAGTTTTCTTATGTAATATTGCAATCAGTTTACAAAAAAAGCATTTTGAAAAAAAAAATCTATAAGCAACAATTGCGCGCAGACAAAAAAAACGATTGATGGAAAAAACTAGTTTTATTAATGTAAGTTAAAGATTTGTAATATATAGTTGATAAAATTGTAGTTAAAGATACAAAATATATAATTATAAATGAATATAATTTTCCATGGAATTCATTAATTAAATTTAAGCTCATTGAAAAGTTTAATTCGGAAATAGATACCTATATACGTAAATACGTTTTCTTTTTTTGTTTTATAAAACCTACTTTATTAACTTACGAAAATTTCATACTGTATGTATAATAAATAATAATACTTAATTGTCACCCGGCGATTTGAAATGCAATAAAATTATTGTTTATTTGCCATTATTTCTACAGAAAAAAGCAAGCTATGTGAAAATGGTGAGACTGTAACATTACGCAGCTGTATTGAGAATTATTCATTAAAATATAGATAAATCTATTGACAAAATCATCGTTGCTTTTTTTGTCTCTACCTATTATATTATAAGATAGGGCCCTCGCTTTCTCGCTTAAATTGCACGGCGAAGATACTGAGCAGTTAACAATTTACTTTAAACCCTAATTCCCACATCACAAGTTTCAAAATTTCTTTGCATTAATGGAACAAAACACACGTAGCCCTAGTCTTCTCCGCTCCGTGGCTCTAGCTAGGCCATCTTCGCCGCGCCAATATGCGCTGCGCCTTAGACAAAATTACAGCAGAATGACACTACCTAATGGAGGTGTTGTTTTTTGTTGGAAAGCAAAGTTCCATGGCTCCACAGGGTAGGAGATTAGGTTTATGCCAGTAAGGTCTGGGTGGCTGCAGCGGCACACTTAGTTCCTTAGCTCCACGGGGTACAAGATTAGGTTTATGCCGGTAGGGTGTGGGTGACTGCAGCGGTATATTTGGATCCATGGCTCCACGGGGTAGGAGATAAGGTTTGGGTAAGGCTAGAGCGGCACATCTTTCTGCCCCATTACATCAGCTATCCTCGAGACTGGACTCCACTTACGAGAGTGATTTGTGCGCCAATTATAAAAAAGAAGGTTTTACACATATAGACATACCTCTATTATATCGAGTTGTACCTATTAAAGGAGACTTACTTGGAGAAAGATTATTTCGCCATTCAGTAGATTGCAGCCAAGTACTTCACACTTTTGTTGACTAGTCGCTTAGCTCCACGGTGAAGGGGGGGATTCAAGCCGACAAAGGTGTGGAGGATCACTGATAGATACTGTATTACGCGTTCGCTTTGAGTTGGCCGCTTCCACCCCTCCCCGCCTCACCGCACCGCGCTCCTAGACAGACCCTATTTGTCGACCTTATTGGTTCACGGTACCAGTTGATGTGCCTGTGATTGGCCTGTGACAATTTTAGCAACGATCATCGATGGCCAAATCGAAGCGAATGGGTTGTACATTCCACCATACACTATATTATCATAGATATAATCTGCACAGATAAAGAAAAGATCTGTGAATGGCGTCCGCTAGCATGCTATCTCGCTCACAATCTATCGCTGTCTTTACTCCAACAGTGAAGTACACACTGCAAAAAACTATGACAATAATCAGTGTTAGCAAACAATGATATTGATGTTGATGATATTCTTTCGGATCATCGTTCATAATAATGTAAATAAATAATTTGAAAGTTATCCCATGCTATTTTTCTTTGAACATTTTCTCCCCTGCTTAAGGAATTTAAACATACATAATAAAGACAAATGAAAAAATCCAGTGTCAAATTTAACCCTGCTTCTTATTTATTTTATTAATATTTTTCGTCATTATTATTAGTATCATTAATTTATAATAATAAAAAATAATAATTATTAAAAAAAAGTCGGGAGGAAAAATAAAATAGATTTTTGAGAACTTGTTTTGCTAACATACTATAAGTACCACCCGCCATTAATAATCTTTACTTTATCTGCGCGAATTTTACTTTCTGTCTGAATTATCTATGATCCAGGTGCTTTCATAATAGTTGCACTAGCTCTGGGTTCACTATACGCACGAGGATTTGTTTGCACTCATCCTGACACGTCACACAGCCTGACAAAAAAGTCGAGTTACCTGGAAATTGGCGTCTCTCAAATATGAGACAATATCCAAATCATCAAATCTACAATATCGAGAAGCTCTCGAGCGATAATGTAATGTGTGAAACCAATAACTTGTACATTAATTATGGCCTGCGCGAACGAGGGACGAGGGTTTGGGGACGGCGAGATCCTAAGGGAACCTCAAGCTGAGGATTGGCGAGTGTCTCTAGAGGTATTCCAGGCGGATGGCATTTTCCCACTGGGGGAGTCTCCTTTCCGCCTGGAGCCTCTACAACACTCGAACCTGAGGGGTTCGGCTCTAGTTAGCCGTTGTCGCGAGGGGGCGGGGAAAAACGCCCAGGTACGTGCCTGTACCTGGTATAGCGTGTCATGTGTAGACCGGGTCTTCGCACTCTTCTCCTACGGGTGCGGTGTCTGCCTAATGCTAAGCTAGTGTGCAAGTTTGCTAGCTGTGTAGTGTAGTTGGTGTTTGTGGTCTCTGTGGGAGGTATCATAGGCGCGTTTGCGCGAGTGATTTCGTCGTCGAGGTACTCTAAGACGTGCCTAGGCCGACGGAATCGGAGGGAAAAGTTCGCTGTGTGCGTTGCTGCCTAATAGTTACAGGTAGACCGCTTAACTGAGTCCTCGCCTGCGGGGAAAGGGGTGTGGTCCCCCACATCAAGGACGAGAACGGGGACCGTGAGAGGTTCGGGCTGCAGGCACATTCTTTTCAAAATTACGAGCGCCCGCCCCCCGTTTCTCTCACGGCTCACGTTGTCCACCTCCCCCACACCCTTTACCCCGCAGGCTAGGACTCAGATAAGCGGTCTACCTATACATAAGTTCTATTTATTTCGGAGAAGCCCCCTTACTTTTGTCCAATCCGGTCGCTCGATATCCGCGGCTCGTGTGCGTTACTAGATACAGTTGTAAGCAATCTATTTATGCGGACAAAAAAGTCCACGGACAAAAGTCCCTCGGCTGCGCATGCCATAAGTATCTTCCGTGACTAAACACATTGGCTGCGCGTGATTCGCACAGAAAAATGAGATACAACTTGTGATTATACCATGTTATAATAGCGTTATCATTCTTTAGTCGATGTAACAATCATGTTCTATATAATATAATTATACTTTTCCATTTATGGCAATGTAAACAAGTAAATAAGTACAAGTGACAACTCGGCATTTCATGCTTATCTGCAGATCTGCAGCCAGCAAACAAGTCCGCAAATGACCATATGATCACGATAAAACAAATAAACCACGGTTCTTAATAGGCATGTTCAAATCAGTAGGTATGAGAAGTTATGAAGTCTTTACTCCTCCTAAAGACCTGTAGACGTAAAGCTGCTCCTCTACCTATAAAGCGAAGCGATACAAGTCACACAACCAGGTAGTGCGTATTTTCTAAGCCATATGGTACATCTTTATGATAAACAAGCTTATAGCCCACCTGATGGTAAGCGGCCACCATAGTCTAGAGACATAAAAATTTAGTTAAACAGTAAGTTGGAGATGTTCCAACATGCTTTGTGGTGTGAGATATCACTGCAAATTACTTCAGGGAAACTGGTAATGATGGAGAAGGAAGTGTTCGATCAGAGACACAAAGCAAACCAGATTTTCCACTCTTATTGTGGTGCCTCTCAGTATCTTCCACCATGTGGGAGACAGCAGCCAATCCAATCAGTAAAATCAAATAAAGCTCTCATAAGTAGCAATAAGGCACTTACCATTAAGCGAGCCGAGCGTTCTTATTTTGTATTGTACGACGTCGTTTGAATCTGGTCACATAAAAATGCGTACTCTGATTGCTACAATACCAACCATCAGAAACCAAGTCAAAACGTTCCTTCCAGTTGCCTCGGGTCGACGTCTGCTTAGCACAGAGGTTTTAAGAGGAATATTGATTCGCGTATTGCAGTCAAAAGAAACCTAGTTTAAAAAAGACAAAAAAAAATGTAAACCTAATCTTTTGCAAGATACTTTTTTTTCTGTTTGTCTCAGTTAAGGAAAAGATTAAAATTATGATAAAGGGTTTTCCGCTACTCACTTCATGTAGATAAGTAACCTTAGCCTCAGCTTTAGGTGCGGTTCACACAGATACGACCGGGCGCGCCTCTGCGAGGTGTCACGTACGTAATTGCTGCTCCGCTATCAGATCGCGTCATTCGCCCACTTAGTAGATTTGTATGCTAAACTAGTTTTTGTTATGACTAAGATAGAGATAACCAGGGCTGTTATTGTTCGTTCGTTGTATAAACCAAAAAGGAGACTACTGCATTGTTGGGTAGGTTAAAGTGCATGATGACACTTTTTGAAGAGAAACTTCTTTACGCACTCTTGACTTGGGTGGTAAGCTGGCGTATGCGTTACGCGTTACATACTATAAGAGGATCTTATTGAAGTGTATAAAAACTTCCGAAGATGCAATAGAATCCAAATAAAGGTGAAGACCTTTAATTTAGTTATAACTAGCTTCCGCCCACGACTTCGCCCGCGATTTTAGTTTTAAGAGAATCCCACACGAACCTACCATTTTTCCGAGATTAAAAGTATCCTTTGTTTCAATCCAGGTCATAAACTATATGCGCACTAATTTTCATCCAAATCCATTCAGTTTTTGCATGAAAGAATAACAAACATCCATACAAAATTCCGCATGTATAGATAGTATTAGTAGGATAGGATAATTTGAAGTAATATTGAATCTACTAATTGAAAACTGTTTTCTTCTCTTCAAGTTTTTTTTTATGTTAAAAGGGCTGCAAAGAAGCATATTCAGCCTAAAGATGCTTCTGAGTCAAAAATTACCACTTGCGAGTGGTAATAATGGGTAGGTAATGGTGCACCATTACCTACCCTGACCCAATCCCCTACTCCGTGGAACCTAATGATAACAATGAAAATTGTTACAAACCTAGTAGAGTCTGTGCGGAAAGAGAATGGGATTAAGATTGGAGAGCGCTGTAGTGCTTTTCTACCGTATTTGTAAGGTTTTACCCCTTTCAGACATGATTAAATACAAAAAACCGCAAGAAATCACAACAACAAACAAATCCGTATCAGTACAAAACTTCGACGTTTTACAGATTGCTGGGTTTGACTGCCAAATAAAAATCTTAATGTTAGTTCCGCCACGCCCATTCTCTTTCCGCACAGACTCCAGTAGCTAACCCTAGCCACTAGTACTTATACCGAATGAGGTGCAAGACGGAACGCACCACAGATGTGGATCCGATAAGCTGGAGTAAGGGGTACTGTCACAATCACAAACGTCCTGGTGTCAGATTGATAAACGGGCTAGATTGCGGGCTAGTTTGAGCCGTTCATTCATACGAGCGCTGATTGTGAATGTTGCTTAAGCAGGAGCGCTGAACTTTGCTAGTGGCTAATAATCTGCTTCGTCTCCT